GTCCTTGTTCGAGGTTTAAACCCCGAGTCTGAAAACGATGCCCCCCGACGAACAGAGAAACTCTGAAATCAAAGTTGAGGGAGTTTTTGACTTTTTTCCAAGGGTACCCCAAAAGAAAACTCGACCCTATTTTTCGAGTGGATGACCGATAGTCTAACCCTCTAATATTTGGTCTCTTGGAAATACGGAAGTTAAGGTGAAGAAGACGAGACTGAACAGTGAATGGCACTTGTCATTGGTGTAAATTCGCGCCGTTTGGAACCTCTTTTTTTTATTAAACGTTAACCTTTTCTATAGTGATTTGTGCTAATTCTGGGAAATGTCATAACGCCTCCATAGGGTGTTTCAACTTGTAGAAGTAGAATTAAAGATCGGGTAATCGAAAGGGACAAAGAATAGTCGTACAGACGGAGTGCTAGGTGGGTCAAGTCAAGAAACCGCTATGAAATTATCACATAGAACTTTAGTCACAGTAGACCAAATACTCTTTTCTGGGGTCTATATGTAAGTACACGTCTAAGTATATGTTCATCCTGGGACGTAATGTTTCCTGTTTGTCCAGACAAGGATTACGTACTGAAAGGTTTTCGTGAAATATTTTGGTCCGGACGACGACTGCTTTCTGTCGGATTATATTTCACGAAACTTTCACGTCGTAATTTCCTGTCTGGACAAACAGAAACACTTGAACGGTTCAGATGAAACATATACTTAGACGTTGTACCGTTCTACATGAGACGCCAGAAAGAGTCAACTTTGTGTCTGACTGTGACTAAGTCTATGTTGAATAATTTCATACTTGTTTCTTGCTTGACACCTGAGCACTCCCGTCTGTCGTACATTCTTTGTCCCCTTCCATTACTCGAGTCTTTTATATTTCTGTACTGTCTCATTAGTTGACTTACTATGATGAGGCGATTAATCGATTCCCGAATTTTAGCACAATCACTTCTGTGAAGTAACAGACGACAATCTAATAACGAGACGACTACGTGTCCAATAGCTTAGTTACGACATAAGTCAGGACACAATGTATTTACACGTCTGTTTATGTATGAATGGCATAAAGAATTAACGTAGTACGATTTAGTCAGTCCACTAAGTATTCATAACACAACAGAAACGAGTCATCTCTATCGTTTGAAACAATAGCACGAAGATGAGTGTGTCCGTTTCTAAGTTGAAGTTGTTCTTCACTTATAGTCTTTAGACAATCGATTTATGTATAAACTTTCTAAAGACATCAGTTTTTATACAAAGTTCATTTACGTCTTGAAAGGTCCTACTTTATTCACTCTCACTCACGTATGTAAGTTATCTAAACTTAAGTCCCACAGGCGCCCCAGAATTTTTCATAATCTTCAACTATTTAGTTAAATCGCTTTTACTTCCGATAATTTTTCATAATTTCCCGTAAGAGGTTCCACAATGTAAAACATCGAACAAAAGTTATTCATATATTCAACAGGTTTCTCCAACATAAGATGTCAGACGGACTTACATTAGTAACGCATCCACACATCACACTAAGACACATCAAATAAATACCGTAGGGCAACCTAACCTGCAGTAGACTTGTCCTGTAGCGTGCGAGTGACGAACCATCGCACTTCCAGGCAAATGCGGCCAACAATTTGTTGTAGCAATACCCCTTTACGTTCAGACGCAGGTTTACTAACCTTCTATTCCTCCTTCCTGTTAGTTATGACATATATCAGTTACACTCCATTTCACACAGCGGTTCCATTGGCCAATCTTGAGCTTCACCGCTACTCCAGAATTTTACATACCTTTCCCAGGTTTCTAGGTTTTTGTGAATTTCAAGGTTTTTATGGCATTTAAGGTTTATATGAATTTCAAGGTTTATATGAATTTCAAGGTTTTTATGAATTCCTAGGTTTTTATGTATTACAAGGTTTTTATGTATTTCAAGCTTTTTATGAATTTCAAAATCCTCATCTACTGCGCGATAAAGTGACATCTATTTACATTTTACGTATTTTCGTACTACATTTATCACTTTTAGAGAAAAGATGGGCAAGTTGCGACGAGAGACATATCATTTTGACAACTTGTGACCAAACACCATCAGAAGACTAAGTGGGACTGTAAAACCGCAGGACTTTCTTTTGTCTAGTTACCATCGTAACTCCTCTGCTCGACTTCCACCTTTCCTTGACGTCTCGTTATTATTCCAACCTTTTATTCAAAACTCACTTCCCGTTGCCTGTCCTGTCTCTTACTCCGCCGCCGCGATTAGTGACCTGAGCACATAGCTAGGTCACCGAACATTACTGGTGTGCTCCCCACACAGTAGCAGTAACCCTGCGCTTCGACTTCACACAAAGATTCGATGCCCTGACTACTCCTTACTGACTAATTCTTTCCTTCTTACCTTTCTACTCTATTTTTCCCGCTTACTTACTACCTGAAACGGTTTTCGGGACCCGTTAATACGTAAATTAATACTACAACACTATATTCTAAGTGCGGAAAAGAAATGTCATTAACAGTAATCAGAATGTATAAAGGAAAAAGGCAATAAATAAAAGCATTGTAATGTTATCAAAGCACATTTTATATTTTACACCAGATACCATTTGATGGACAATTAGGACTAGCTAACTCTGCTCCTATCTATAGACTATCAAATCCAAATTTATACGGTATTGCAACCGATAGGATAAAATTTCGAGAGAACACCGGACACGGGGTAAATCAGTAATAAAGGTGTCATTAACGACTATTCTACTCAAATTTCTTTTAGTGTATTACCTTTTTACAAGCCTTTGGAGTTACAGGGGGATGTTATAGTAGTCACCAACTAGTTTACTAACTCTATAACTAGTGGGGTGGGAATGAACGAATTTAGTTTGTGACGTGTGTGAGTTGGTTTAGTCAGTCAGACTGTAATAGACCGACACCTAATGAGTACTCCCCTACTTTGTACTTACTAACCAAATATAGCGGTCTTCTTGTAAACTACATTACTAAGGACAACGGATTTACCCTAAATTGGCTCACCTGAGTCGACTCGAACGAAGAGTATACCAACAAACTATATACTCACTCCTTATCGCCCCCTTAGTAGATTTTCTTTTTTGACCTCCAAATGTAGCTTCATCAAAAAGACATATCGCAAGCCATAGAAGTCGTTTGTCGCGTACTAGGATTTTTTGCTACAGACACACAAGACTTAGTAGACGGAGGAGTGGACGATTTTACGAATAATAATAGTCTGATTTAAACACATAGGCCCGATTAAGACACACAAACAAAGTCCTCTTACCGAGGTCCCTGAGCAGCTCATTCTCGTTCGAGTTAGGAGACGCTGTATCTGATGCCGGACCTTTGAGACGCGGTCATTTTCCAAGGTGTTACATTTTGTAGCTTGTTTTCAATAAGTATATAAATTGTCCAAAGAGGTTGTATTCTACAGTCTGCCTGAATGTAATCATTGCGTAGGTGTGTAGTGTGATTCTGTGTAGTTTATTTATGGCATCCAGTTGGATTTGACCTCATCTGAACAGGACATCGCACGCTCACTGCTTGATAGCGCGCGAAGGTACGCCGGTTGCTAAACAACATCGTTATGGGGAAATGCAAGTTTGCGTCCAAATGGTTGGAAGATAAGGAGGAAGGACCATCAATACTGTATATAGTCAATGTGAGGTAAAGTGTGTCGCCAATGTAACCGGTTAAAACTCGAAGTGGCGATGAGGTCTTAAAATGTACGGAAAGGGTCTTAAAAAAGGTCTTAGGTATTACATTTGACTTCAGGATTCCTGCATATACCCTGCAGCTGTCATAAACATGAATAAATTGATTTGATGTAGGTTATATTTGTATGGAGGTTGTTTCAGTTTCAAATGGGTATAGTTTTAGAGTAGGATTGACGCGCTATTCACTGTAGATAAATGTAAATGCATAAAAAGCATGATTTAAATAATGTGAAAATCTCTTTTCTACCCGTCAACGCTTCTCTCTGTATAGTTAAACTGTTGAACACTGTTTGTGGTAGTCTCTGAATTCACCCTGACATTGGCTGTCCTGAAAGAAAACAGATCAATGGAGCATTGAGGAGAGGCTGAAGGTGAAAGGTAACTGCAGAGCAAATAATAAGGTTGGAAAATAGTTTTCTGAAGTGAAGGGCGACGGACAGGACAGAGAATGAGCGGCGCTAATCACTGTGACTCTGTGTATCGATCCAGTGGCTTTTAATGGACACACGGAGGGGTGTGTCATCGGTCCATTTGGAGACGCTGAATGCTTGAAGTGTGTTTCTAAATGCACCGGTGGACTGGATGAATGAATGAACTGATTAATGAAAGGGAGGAAATGAAAAGAGGAGATAAAAGAGTGGCTGAATGAATGGATGACTTTGCCAAAAGCCTGGGCAATATATGCATTTAATATGAATGTTGTGATATAAGATTCACTGCACTTTTCTTTACAGTAATTTGTCATAGTCTTTACATATTTCCTTTTTTCCTGTATATTTATATTTTCTGTAAACATTACAATAGTTTTCGTGGTAAATATAAAATGTGTCTAATGTGTAAACTTACCTGTTAATCACTTGATTCTGATTTGAGACGAGTGATAAGATATCTGATCATGTTTAGGTAATATGCCATAAGTGTTGTCTATTCCTGATTTTAAAGGCTGCTCTTTGATTGGCTGTTGCCCCATTAGTCATTATATCCACAGTAATGCTGATTAAGGATTATGTTTTTTTAAAGAATATCACATAATGGAAAAATGTTCTGAAAACCTCAATGGTCCACCCTACAATATCATCAATGTAGTTGATCAAATGATTGAGATATTTGATCACCCCGCCTTACTTTGCTTATATCAAACCACTGCACACACTCAACAAATCAGTTCAGTCTGATTATCTGGCTGTGGATGACTCAATGAGTGGATGAAACATGAATGAATTGGTTTATCATTCGCCAGAAGACATTTTTGATGTTCAACTTGATCCTGTTGCCTAAATGGATTTAACTCGAGTGGACTCAGCTGAGCTCTGGTCTCATATGGTTTTGATTATAACGAAGTGAGGAAACGGGGAATCATCTTAAAAAGAAAAAACTGGTTTACATCGAGTTGTTTTTCTTATAGCGTGGTAATCTTCAGCAAACAGCGCATGATCCTAAAAAAACAGATGTCTGTGTGTTCTGCATCATCTGCCTCTCACCTGCTAAATGCTTATTTATTATCAGACTAAATGTTGTGTATCCGGGCTAATCTGTGTGTTTGTTTTCAGGATGAATGGGGCTCCAGTGACTCGTCGAGTAAGAGCAAAGCTCAAATCTCTGACGACAAGACTAACGGCCTGGAAACTCTGCCGCCAGGTATGAAACTTCGCTACCCATCTTGCACTGCAACCACACAATGCCTAAACAAGCTAATGTATATTTCTGTTATAGCCAAAAAGGTCTTAAGTATATATTTGTTTATCATATCTATAACCAGGATGTCTGACAAATATGTGCTTCAGGATCTGGAGAGATTTCTGTGTGTCATTGTTTCTGCTCATGATTATAGTAAAGGAAAAGGACAAATACATCCCAGCTGTAAAGCATGTGCTTGGCTGACACTGTACACCACAGTTATGTATCCAGAAAGACACATCATGTCCCCGCAACCCAAACTATTTCCTTTTTGAAATGTGGTGACATAGTGGCTTAGTTTTATACAGCAAGAACAGCCTCTGCCTCTTCACCTTACCATGTTTAAATAACCACTGGGAACGAGAAGACAATTCAACATTCAATTCAGCTATTGAAAATAATTCAAGTATCTACTTTAATCTCGCCGCAAACCCAGCTATGCGTCTCCACCCAGGCTTTCAGAAACATTGTTCCAGAGTCCCACAGTCGCAGCATCTGAGCGACGATTTGTCATTCAGCTCTCGTCCGCGCCCCGACTCAAAGCCGCCCCTCCCTCACAACCCTCTGACTTGTTAAAGCTGAACACACACTCTCTTATCTGATCCAGCGGTGGAAATGAAATCCAATTTGAATGTTGAAGTGGAGGCATTTTAACTTCAGGGTGACTCGATTACAACGACACCAGGCAGCGAATCGCAGCATCCCTCACAACGCATATACACACTTAAGACGAGAAGAAGGAAAGAAGTATAAAATAAATGAAGAAGTAGGAGACTGTAAAAGCGAATAAACCAAATGAATATAGTCCCCAGAATAAGTATACGTCTCTAGTTTCTAGTAGCCCTGCTTTAAACAATTCAATTGTGGCACCTAATAAAAACAATTATCCTCAAATCTTCATTCTAAAACATTTATACTTAGCAATGTACCAAGTCAAATCTTATCAGAGGGAGGGGATATGAAGCAAGCAAAGATATTTAGTTTAAAATAATAGAAACATATAACAATATATCTTAATGTATTTGTTGATTCGATTTTGTGTGAATAATCTGAATATGCAAGTCATTTATTTCATAAACACATATTGTGAAGTGAAAAAGAGCCTACTGTATTTGCCTCCGACATGTACAGAAGCAAACTATAAAGTAGCATAAAAGCTTAATTACTTTCCACTGCTGCCTGCTTGAAACCGTGGGTTGGAAACTGGACAGTACTAAAGGATGTGTAACAAAAGAAAATGTCAGCCGCTGAGGATGGAAGATTTTGGTGATGAGACTATAAATTATTTCAATTTAAACTGACCACTCCTTTCTCTGATACAAAAACACAAAATCAAACCACCAGCTGGGAGTGGATACCTGAACCTGCTTAAGAGAGTATTTGAAAATGGATTTTTATTAATCTCACTGAGAAATCGAACAGTTCATCTGCTTTATTTGGTTTAGCAACCAAAGAAAAGGAGGTTTGAACAAGTGTGTGATATAGACTTTGGAAGCCTGATTTAAATACTCGCAAAGTGAGAAGTTGAAACAGTAATTTCACTACATTAATTACTTGCTGCCACTAAACGGAGATATCAGCAAGGACATCTCACACTCGTGTACCGCAGTGTCTCCGAGGCGCCGCTGACAGTCGCAGGCGAATCAGCATTGTGATTTTCAGCGAATTAGCATGCGAGACACATTCACGTGCTGTCAGCAGAGATGCTTGCACACACACTCTCCTGCTCGTCAGGCTCCACATCCCACTGTCTGTCTGTCTGTCTGCCTGTCTGTCATACACACAGGCATCCATACTGAGGGGTAGTGTAATCTCACGCTGCCATATGCTAAACACAAGTCATTAGCATAGCAGCTGCACCCGGCTAATTAGTTGCATTATTATTCGTGTGTGTCTGTGTCTCAGTAGTCTGAGATAAACTGTGAAATTAAACATGAGAACTTTCTCTGTTTGGCGTGCAATGATCTTCTTAATCTGGTCGGACACAATGTGCTCCGTTTGGATATGTGTAAGGGGGTAAAGATGTTTTCCAAACTTTTATTTGTAGGCCTCAGTATATTACTTAACTCACTAGGATTTAATTAGTGCAGTGCATAATACATTTGTTATTTTCTAGCTTTGCCACACCATTTCTGGCCTTGTCTTCTGAAAGCTGCACAGCTTCTCATATAAGCATCACAAGTCTCATGTCAGCTTTGCTCACTGCCGTGCTGCCGCCTGTCAGGCAGCAGCTTGAAGCGGCGAGGTTTCCTTCCTGTCAGTCGAGAAGGATTCATTCACCAGGCTGGCTGCTGCCTACACTTCATATTCTGTCTGATGTATAATCCCAATTATTCCTGAGACACATTTTTTGCCTTTTTGGGAAGGTTAAAACTTCATTTTTCGTGGCAGCTTTTATTTGTGGATACGCTCTGCTTATGTAATGTGTATTTACCAAAGAGTTGCATTGTGAATGTGTTTGTTATTGAAACGTTGAGGAACAGTTTGTTCTTGGGTTGTTCACTGTCAAAGTACAAACATGTGCCACCGGGTTCGAACCCGGCCTAGGACCACATGCAGAGTGTCATTCCCCCTGTCTTCCCCTTTTATCACCGTCACTATAATAAAGACACTAGTTGTTCTTTATTCACAACAGCCTTTATATTAATTCATGATTGAAATGTATACATCAATCCTGTAACCTGTCAGTTTTTCCCAAAATCCATCTTCTGCTGGATTTGTCTTTTGAATTATCTGCAATTTTTCTTTACCATTTTTTAATCATTCCACTCTCCATCTTAGTTAAACCTCAAATGTGAAGAAGCACACAAACAAGACAACAATTGCACCAACTTCTTTAGACATGTATTAATACTAGATCATGTATTCAGTGTGCCTAATGTTTATGTGTGTGTGTTTCCAGGTAAGGTGCACTGGCAGGACTTTGACCAGGATCTCTACGTTGGAGCCACAGTGGTGCGAGCGGGTCAGGATCCGTACGCCAGGAACAAGTTCAACCAGGTAGAGAGCGACAAACTCCGTATGGACAGAGCCGTGCCCGACACCAGACATGACCAGTACGTATCTCTACCCTTACACAAACTGTCTCTCTCTCTCTGTGTCAGGGCTGGGAAATATATTGATGTTATTTTGATATTGTGATACAAGACTAGATATCGTCTCGTATTGTGGATAGGCTGCATTACAGTAATGTGTGAGTGATGTGCTTTTTGTAATTTACCAGATTTAAAAAATGTTTGTCTTTACCCAGAATAAATCCACATTACTGGCAGTTATTTATCTTTTATGTATTTTGTAAAATCATGCAAAATCACCGGTCCACCATACAATATAGTCACAATATCACTATTGAGTTATTTGCCTTCTGACCAACCTAACCACACTCACCAAAGTGTGATCTTGTGTGTACATGCGGTCCTTTGCTGTTTGTCTCTTTGACTAATTAGTACCAGACTGGAAGGTCTCTTGGAAACTCCCTCTATTGTGTTGTATCAGACGTTATCAGGAAGTAGCTGCATATCAGACCCGCACTGTCTGCTCCATTCATAACGCAAACCTCCGGAAACCGCTGACGATTGTTCTGCTTGTTAAACCAACCACGAGACAGAAATAACCCATAGAGCTATATGTATAGGATCACTTCATTAAAACTTTATTGTGTTTAAGTTGGCTTCATTCTTATGTCTGCCAAATTGTCTGGTTGTACACAAGATAAACGTCCTATATTAATCCATGATGCTGCTTCAGTCCTTGTAAAACTTAAGTCAAAACTGTTTAGCCTTAAAGCTCCCTGACAAGTTAAACACATGGTTTCTGAAATGTTAAGAGTATGATTCATGCCACATGCCACAGCTCCTACTTTGACCAGTTTATCTTGTGTTTCTACATTGTTATCTTTAATCAATCATAAATACATTGGAAGAATGTCAAAAATGGTTGTAAGTGTGTAGAGTGTCAGCAGTGTGTCTCTTTAAGAATTATTTTAAATTACTCCTTGAGAGAACACCTTGTATTGTCTTCTTACCAAGCAGAAGGGCCAACAACTGCAGTCCCTCAGATAGTCACTTGAGCATTTAATAAGGGACCCCTGTGTGAACATTCTGTAAAAACAGTCAGATTTTAACCATGGAAAATAAGATGTTTACTGCCTAATGGTGTCCAAAGTTAATTCCACCAAATATGAGCTTTGCAGCAGCTTGTGTTTAATATTTTATACAGTCTTACTCCATACATTATTATTTCCTTCTATGGAATTGAACCACTCCTGATTTTTTTAAGTTATAGAAAGTGACTGAATATTGGTGTGTGTGTGTCATTTTTGACATCTCACCTGTTGATCCAGACCCTCCAAAACACACTCAGCCACTCAGCCGGGCTTTTGTTTTCTTTTTTTTCCTCAACCTGCTCTAAAGTGAGAAAAAACATTTAGATTCAGAACCAAGGCTATTTTTCAACTTATTTAAATGTGTTCCTTCATTAAATTATTCAACGCATAAATGCTGATCACAATATGCCCTGACGCAAGAAACTATATTTTTACTAATATTTGACCTTGAATGGAGCAGAAAACCTAGCGTTGTAGTGCTCAGTGAGTTTTAAGTTAAGCTGTAAATCAATGTTGAACACAATAAGTGAACATACAACACGTTGCTCGTTACAGTATCGTTTTCAGTCACTGGTTTAATTCCTGCAGATCTATCTCGATGCACACTGTGAGATATTTTTATAAAGGCAGTTGTCTGGGCTCACTGATATATTGAGCCAAATCAGACGGCTAGACCCATTAGCCTACTAAAAGATCTGGACGTGTCTCATATTGATGTGGCACTGATGTGTCCCCTGCACAGCACGCAGCAGCACTGATTGTTGAATGTTCTCCAGAACAAAAACAGCCTATTCAGTGCTTTTCAACACAATATCAAAGTATCTTTATTCTAAAGCTTTTAAACACCAGCAGTTCAAACATACAGGAGGTATGTCGATACAACATGGATGTTGCTGCAGTTCAACATTTTATAAAGTTTAAAAGCCTGTTCTCTATAGGAGCAACACTTTACATTGTCTGGCCTCTCTTTTTGCATCTCTTTTTAAATCATTTTGTTTCTATTCCTCATTGTTTTGGGTAACAGTGTGTCACTTTGGTCTTTCTATTCTTAATTTCAGTCTGTGGTTGTTCTGCCCCTTTTGTATATGTGTTGTGTTTGTTTGTAGTCAGTTTGGCTGTGTCTATTTGTGATTATTCAACCTCTGCCTAGTCGTTGTTAGCTTTCTGGGGTCATTTAGAAGTTGTATTGCACCCACTTGTAGTCTTCGTGAGTCTTTTTGTAGATATTTAAATTTATTTCTATGTCATTTTAGGCCTCCTGCTTTTTGTGTGTCTTTGATTGACATTTTGTAGTTGATTGTGGGGGGCGGCCTGAAACACTCAATAATCCATCAATAGATACAGGGACTAAAGAACTGTACACACCATGCTCACAGACGTTCAATACCAATGTGTACTGTCGTTCTATATGTACTGTACCTATGTGCTATACTGTACAGTCCGTACATCTGGTTTGTGTTTCAGCCTCCAAGGCCAACCTCTCTTAGTTTTTTTAATTGGAGCTGAAGGTTAATTTTCTAGAACTGGATTCTTTCTCTGCACCCAGAGATCTGCCTGTGTGATGTTTATATATACAAGGACAAGACATCGTGATTTCTTTGTCCTCCACGTGGCTCTTTGTCTCATGTAGCATCCTCTCACGCACGCACGCACGCACACACCATCTCATGGGAATTGGTTGGGTACTGAATCCTATTTATTGTGTTCATGTATTTAGGAGCGGTTCCAGCTCACAGCTTTGTTCACACATTCAGCTGTGTGTGTAGGAGTGGATGTGTACATTTGTACACATGTAGGCAATTATGCTGTTCGATGTCCATCCTTTTAAACACATTTTGATGATTTGTGTGTGTGTGTGTGTGTGTGTGTGTGTGTAGTTGTAGACATAAACAATGGAAGACTGAACTGCCCGCCTCCAGCGTCGTCATCACTTTCCACAATGAAGCTCGCTCTGCTCTGCTGAGGACTGTGGTCAGGTAGGTGATGATTTGTGTGTGTGTCCCAAGTTTTTTTCCTTCTTAATATATATTTTACCTTCATATAAACTCCCTCTCCTTCTCTGATTAGTGTCCTGAAGAAAAGTCCCGTTCACTTGGTCAAAGAAATCATTCTTGTTGACGACTACAGTGATAACCGTGAGTTACGCACACAGACAGATTACACAAACAAACCCAGTGAGATCAATGTTAGAAACAGAAATACTTTATTGATCCCTGAGGTTTACGTTACAGTTTCCATTCAAGAATATAGATGTGTATAAATATAAAGAAATTATACAAAAATAGAAATGAATATTATTAAAGGATATGCATTATATTACAATATATATATATCTCAGTCTGTACACACAAACTGAAAGATTGACAATAAAGTTGACTTTGACTCCTGACTTGAATATACAATTATAAGTTATGTGGTTCTAAAAAAATATATAACATACATTATATGTATTTTTGAAATATTTTCAAAGTATACAGCAATATATAGTACGTACTAATAATATTTGAAATGGGATCTATGATTAAGTTTGTTAAAATATTAAAGAATAATTGAGTTGAAATGCAGTATTAGTGCTAAAGTCACCCAGATTATTGCACAGTAAAATAATTATTGCACAAAGTGATTGTACGGTTAAGTCAGCATCGCACAGCAATTATACATAAATAATGGAGTTCTAGCTGCTGAAAGGGGAAATAAATGCAATGTCTGCTCTGTGTGTGTTTCAGCGGAGGATGGAGCGCTTCTGGGGAAAATAGAAAAAATACGCGTATTGAGAAACGACCGCAGAGAAGGTAGTGAAGAGAATAAATGAACGTTTTATTTCATTACAAGGAACATTAACTAATGAGGCTCCACCTTGTGTTTATCGGTGGGGTTGAAATCATTCTAAATGTGTTTTTATTGACTGGTGTTTCCCTCAGGACTGATGCGTTCGAGGGTCCGTGGAGCAGACGCCGCCGTGGCTCCAGTCCTTACCTTCTTAGACTCTCACTGTGAATGTAACGACCACTGGCTGGAGCCGCTGCTGGAGAGAGTGGCCGAGGTACACACACACACACACACACACACACACACACACACACACACACACACACACACCCTCCTTTATACATTTTAAGTTTATTATCATTCATATAAACAAAGTAAAAGATTACTTAATCCAGTTAAAAAAAACAATGATGGGACAATAGACGACAGACAATAGATGTGTTTTGTTTTGCCAAGAAAGAAACTTAAATATTGGTTTATTTCAAAGGTGAAACAGTGAGATACTATGAGTCGTTACAGTCCACACGCATCCTCGCAATCAAGCATCCTTCCTTCTCTAAACATGCTCGCCAGGCATCATTCAAAAGTGAAAGTGAGGATAAAATACATTAGTCCTCAACTTACATATTTGAGTAAAGCATCAAAAAGCATGAATTCTTCTTAATCAACAGGGTCAGTGAACTTTTCTTTGATTGCAAGAATCAAACTAAATCAAAACACAAAAAAACACCAACCCAACAAATCAAAATCACTCAGTTTTAATTACGTGCTGTATCTCAGTGCTCAGAACTGATGTTGATAATGTTATCCTACGAAGCCCCCAAGTCCTGTCAGGTGATATCATTTTATCTTCTGCACACATTAATTAACTTACAAGATAACACAAATATGACCCTATGGGACTCTAGGGGCTCCGTTATATTAATTTTTGTAGGGGAATTAGCTTTTTCACATAGAGGTCAGAGATCAGCAGCATCCTGCAGCCGTCAGTCAGTCAGTGTCTTGTTAACATTCATGTGAAAAACAAGGAGCGCATGACTTCAATAACACAGGAATGTTTGGACTCTCAGAGTAAAAGTACCATCTCACAGCTCCAAAAATTCACATTCCCCTTTTTTCTGATCTTACATGTTTATTCAGTTTAGATAAAAATCTCATGCTAATGTCAAAAGGTATATATATATATAATAAGCCAGTGAGACGGTAAATGAAATACTGATGTTGATCTTTACTTGGTTTATGCTGTAAAAAAAGAAAGAGTAACCCTTTTCAGAATGTGACCCCTCTGTAAATTGGCAGAATATCATTATCTCTTATCATCTCGATAATAGACGATGATAGATTTATTTCAAGACTCAATACAGTTTTCCACCATATTTATTTCATCTTGAAAAATAACCCTACAATAAACATCCTCAAACAGAATGAACCTTAACTCAATTACAGCTGAACAGTGTGTTGCTATTAAGTCTTTTAGTAATGACTTCAGAGTTTCTTGATGAATAGTAATCTCAGTCTGAAGCGGGACTCTGTGGGTAATACAGAGGTTGTTTAAATATTTATCTGATATGACTGAATAAAGTCTGATCTGCTTTTGATCCTCCCAAACGCTGTGTTTTGTCGTTCCCTAGTTAATAAACGCGTGGAGCCAAATCAAAAACAGTTTGCTCTCAGAGTAATTGACTTTGCTTATCTTTGCTTTAGTTGCACTTCTAAATGATGAATCACTCGAAATAAAAAGGCAAGAATGCCATCTGTGTGGGTGAAGCCTCATGAATCATATCAAAAGGTTTCAACACAAAATAAATAAACTCTCTCTCTGCACCTTGAGGCTTGCTTCTGGGAATTGTCATTTTGGCCACTTGAGAAACCCTCTTTTCTCTAAACTCCTGTGTGATGTGGCTCTGTGGGAGTGACCTAAAGTCGAGAAGACAGAGCTGCTCTCCTTGCAGTTGTCTGATACACTAAATATAGAAAGAAAAACCAAACATATGAGTCATATTTACTTTTGAACTACACAAAACCTGGTAGACTTGGACTTTATTTATTTATTAACAAGACACATTTCCTGTCATTCTCATTGTAAGTTTGTTCGGAGCTGAAAAAGTTTCACGGATTTATTTTTCTTCATACTTCCTTCTCAGGACAAAAGCAGAGTCGTTTCTCCTATCATCGATGTCATCAACATGGACAACTTCCAGTACGTAGGAGCCTCGGCTGATCTGAAAGGAGGTACGGTACACATGCAGAGAGTCACATACACACACGCGCGCGCACACACACACACACACACACACACACACACACACACACACACACACACACACACACACACACACACACACACACACACACACACACACACACACACACACACACACACACATGTCTCTCACTAGCTTCCAGCCTGGGCTAACGGTTGAAGTCTTATTGGGAGATGTGGCACTACTTATGACCTTTTTTCTGTTTGGTTTGGCAGGTTTTGTTGCCACAGCAAATCCAAACATCCTGATGAGAAAAGACTGCACTTTGGCAACGGCCACTGTAAGTACTGCTCCATGTTCTCGTGAGTCTTTGGGATGTTATCCATCCAACCCCGTCTACACTTATTTATTGGTGGAGTTCAAACTAAACTAGGTAGTTACATTATGGTTTGATAGGGGAGATGTCTTTCTTGAGTGTCTTTACCCACAGCGGTGGTTTTGGAGCAGCTAGTTCCAAACTTGAAGTGGTTTCCCCTTTACCTCGGTTCAGTTGGTCACATTAGAAGACAGGATCCAGACTGGAACCATGCTCAAAAGAAGGTTTCGTGGTCCATTTACAAATCAATCCTGAAAGCTTCATTTGGATAGAGAGCAAGATCACAGTGTTGTCTTTCACCATCTCAGATAGCTGGCCCTGTCCAATTGAAACATGACCAGTGTCAAAAGAGTCTCTCTCATAGCATTTTGAAAAGTTAAAGTTAAAGTCTGTGAAGTTAGACCAATGTTCAAATCACCCAAAGTAACAACTTTTGATGTATCCATCCCAAGGGAAAACAGCTTAATAATGAACTCCTTTATGTTACGTATTCTGCTTTATTCCTGTTATTTATTAGTAATCCTCCTACCATTAACCTTGACCCAGGTATTAGCCCCCACGACTTTACACTGCATCATGAACAGTTTGGATGGGTCAGATGTAAAGCATAAAATAACCAACAGGGACTAATAAAGCACAACTTTATTTTTTTAAAGTACAGCTTTATTACTTAATGGATAGACAAGTCTTTCTCAAAACATATACTTGGAGAAATGCCATATACTAAAAATGTTGGTTTGTCTCGCCCAGTGTTTGTTGAGTCATCACTTATCATTAATATGTTTTCTGTTTTGCTTTTCAAAGTAAAGCTAAGCACTAGCACGTGATATAACCTTACCAATATATAACCTTACAAAGTCGTTAAAATGTTTGGGGGCATTTTTTATGTAAGTACAAACATAAGGACCTACAGTACAGATTTCTGGTCATTAACTGGTGCAACCTGCTCTCTCCTGCTGCAGTGCGTCTGCCGGGCATCAGGACCTACGTGGACCCCCACACGTATGAGGACCCCAGCCAGGCTGTGCACGAGTTTGCAAAGGAGCTGGACGCCTCCTGCATTGCCATCGACAAAGTGGTGGGAGCAGGTGAGAATGGACTAAGGGAGATGCTTAAGTGCACTTTGCTAAACTGAACGACACCATACAGATTATTTCAGGCAAGAAAAGAACATTACCTTTTAACAAGTCTGTTAGAAGGACAAACTAGAAAGAAGATCAAGAGAGAGAAATGGTTTCTTCCTCTCACTGACCTCTCCTTTCCCACCCTCACCTCACAGTTACTTCACTTTCTTGCTCTTTTTCACACTCTATTTAAATGACAAAGAAACACCGAGTGCTCAACCACATAGAAAAAGATGAGGTGCATATAGAGTTCCCATATATCTACATTTTCATAGCAGCAGGCTAGTTTAACTGTGTGTCATATACTGCACAGCTGGGATTGAGAAAGCATTTAAAGCCACAGCTTGAGGTCCCTTCTTCCCAGCCCTCCTCTATGATAGAGGGAGAGATGGTGAAATCTAAAGTAGTTCTGCTCTCCTGCGGTTAGTCTTCCTTTTCACTCTTCATTTCCTTCTTTTATTTACATTTTCTACAGGCGATTGTCTGTTAATCTTATTCTGAATGTAGTCTAATGAAAGCAACCGTAAAACAATCTTCCTCTCCTCTCTTCTCCTCATGTACTCCCTGATAAGTTGAGCAGAAGTGCAGACGGGAGGGTAATGCATTGTGATTCATGTGGAGTAGATGGACAGCACATAAGGTGGGGGGGGGAGGGTCTCCAGAGTCCCTGCAGCCCCTCCACACTGTAAAGCTGTCAGGACGGCCTGAGAGTCTAATACCTGGCTCCACACTGGAGTACAACACACTCCACAATGCATTTCTCATAGTAAATAGCAGACATAACACATAGGAATATCTCAGGCTAAAAGGACGCATTGGTTAATGTATTGGAAATCAGATATTGAAGTCAGTGTTATCCACTTCTTATATTAAACATGTTTTTATTCATTGTAGAATATTTCTACTCTGATCCTCGGGATGGCTTCTTATTAGTTGCCTCTACACATACTTTTCGATTTTACACAATTATACATCAATCATATTACAGGGCTGTTTGCAGTGGTCAATAGTGATTAAGTACATTGACTCAGGTACAATTTTGAAGTATCTTCGTTACTTAAAAATGTAAATTATCTATTACTTCATTCTTCTATGCAGAACCAAATATTGTACTTTTTACTTCAATAAAACTGCTGCAACATTAAAGTGATGAACAGATTAGTGCATCAATAATTATAGTCCAATAATATAATATATGAATGTTATTCCTCAACCTCAGTTGCCAGTGTGAAATCATGAGTATTCTTTTTGTTTCTGAATAATTTACATTTTGTAATCATGTTTAATTAGATGCTTGTACTTTTGTAATTTTAGTTTGGAAAATGTTAAATGCAGGACTTCCAGGTGTAGCAGAGTACTTCTTTCTGTGGTATTATTACTTTTATTTAAGTAAATTATATATGTGTTCACCTATGAACATATGCCATGCACGTTTAATACATGTAAATTACAAGCAAATAGTGCAGGCATATAAAAGAGAGAAAAATATAGTACATTTTTAATATGAGGGAAAGTGTTTTATCAATAATGTATTTATAAATACTGTCATGTGTATCATCATATAAAACCAATATCAGTTGATCCCGAAAAACCCTCACACACAGTTGAGTTCACCCTGAAGTAGGCTACACCACTATATACTATACATCTTTGTTTTTTGTTGGCATTCAGCAACTAGCTCCCTCGAGGCCATGACACTAATTGCTATCGGTACATACTGTGTTGTTGCTTAATGTGAATTTGAATGAAATAATTTTACAGGGACTAAAAAACCAACATTTTTGTAACCAGTACAGTTGTACACATGTTAATATAACCTGGCTACCCAAGACACATTTTAATTATTTAAAATAAGCCTCTATGAGAATCCCATTGATGCTATTGGAGCACAGGTTGTCTATATGCTTGAGCTCTCTACTCTAGAACTGTTGTAAAACGTTTATGCGAAGTGAACATCAGAGCTGAATTTTAAAGCTTTAGCCATGATGTAAACTTTTTTTCAGCTTAAATACAACCATGTACCTGTATTCTTGAAAGGAAACCATATTAGCAGCATGAACAATACACAACATACAGTACCTATTCTTTCTCCATTCCTCCCTCAATCCCCATCTGTCTCCATTACACATGTTAACAACACTTTGATCTTCTTGCCAATCTGTGATTGTGTGTTAAAAGACAGAACACATGCTCCGCTCTGCTAACATGGGTCAGACTGTAACATCAAAGAGGGATACCTAGCTCCGCTCAGAGCAGGAAAGGGGTGAGCGTCCCTAATCAAGACTTATTAGAACAAGATCTTCTTTCTCAGAGTGACCACATGAAAAAGGTGCCTCGTCCTGGCTCGTCCGTCCCCTGCTGAAGGCCAGAAGAACAGGCATGCGTTTGGTATTTAGACAGGGTGTAATTATTCCAGCTTAAGTTCTTCCAGACCCTCTTCAAGTCCATTATTTGACCCATGCTCTCTGATCCAGAGCTGCTATGGGAAATGATTGTCCTGGACTCTGAGACAGATCTGCACATGTCTTTACTCTGACATCACCTTGCATGATCACACTCAATTTCATATAAATTCAGTAAAGGGTAAAACACACACACACACACACACACACACACACACACACACACACACACACACACACACACACACACACACAGGCATACTGTATACACATTCTCATCTTCTAGTCTTCTTCGAGCCAAATCCCCGTCACCAGCTGTAACATGGCTGGCTGCCTTTGAAGTGGCCAGCCTGCCTACATAGCTTACAATACCTGGTGAAGCTCACAAAACACACACACACACACACACACACACACACACACACACACACACACACACACACACACACACACACACAGAGACATGGTCTGAGGTAAACACACACACGCTTATCCCCTCACCAGCGAGGAATGCTAATTGAGATTTCCCAGAGTGTATGTTGAGTCATGTTGTCTTTTAATACGATACTTGAGGAAAGTTGAAAGATCATTTTATTTGGACTGTGCCATCGAGTGGATCAGTTTCAAAGTTTATTACAGCACATGGTGTCATTACTGTAATTAGTGGTCGTAACACATAATTATCCCGTGATCTCTCTCCAAGTTCAATAAATACCAAGCCTGATTAATGAGAGTTAAGTAATGACAGGGTAATCATCAAGATCTTCTTTGATCGGCATCGTTGACTCTTAAGTGGTCGGTGGATCTGTTAAAACGTAGTGACACCTCAAACTGTCGACCTGCTTTTCTAACTCAGTGCCACACACCTGTATGTACAGTACAGCACTTCAGCCTAATGCTAAACCATGTTAGATCCATGTTGGGAAAACATACTGTAGACAAGCACTTTAGTTACATATGAGGTTGTGATTAAGTAGATTCCTGTTTACTTAGTTTCACTGGCTCATTTCAGTTTGTTATACTTCTGGTTCAATTGTTGAATTTATGTGAAAAGTTAAATATTTTGGAAAGTTGGACTTCTTTCCCTGATAGAGGACTGTACTGATCATTGTTACACATATATCTTCAATAGATGGCAAGTTTCAAGTTAGCATGACCAAAAGTCTGATTAACCAAAATTAACTATTTCGAATAAAACCCCACTTTTCAACTTATTGATTCAATTCTTTGAGCATAGATAATTATATTCAAATATCATGTTGTATGGGAAGTATAATTAGAATCTTCATATTAGCGATACACAGCATATATCATTTTAGCATATGATATGTATGTTAATAGACCATTTATCACAGATATATGGCGATAAAGTATATCTGAATGTGTATCACCATAGAACAATACCAACATTATAGTTTATAGATACTAAGACCCCAGAGATGGTATTCAGAGAAGTGTTATCCTGCTGTTATCAGTCTTGTTCATATATTTCACATTTAACCGTATTGCATCTTCCATTCTTTTGTCTTTAGGTGAGTTTGGCGAGGTGTGCAGTGGTCGCCTGAAGCTGCCCAGCAAGAAGGAGATCTGTGTGGCCATCAAGACTCTCAAAGGAGGATACACTGATAAGCAGAGGCGGGACTTTCTCGCTGAGGCGTCAATCATGGGACAGTTTGACCACCCCAACATCATCAGGCTGGAGGGGGTGGTAACACGCAGTAAGTGCTTCCATCAGTTCCAACTAAAAGGGGCACACTGAAGGGATTTCACTTTGTACTAATCTAATCATATAGGGTATTTCTTCAAGGTTCTTTAAGTGATCCCAATTTATCAAGATGTAGGTATTCTGGTAAAATGTCATTGGTGATTTGATTGGTCCGTTTAAGCACAAAACAGCACAGAATAGTGTAAAATATAATAGGATGGAGTAAGAAAACGCAGAGTAACATTTGCATTCACATTTTGTCGCAGGTTTAGCATCTTTTACCGATTCCAGATTTGCAATTGTCATGACAAATGGCTCTAAAGTGGCCCACACTTCTGTAAAGGAGCACATGAGTTTTATTGAGTTGCAGTGGTGTAAATCTCTGCAGATCAATGTGCTCTGATCAAAGCCTGTGTCCAAAGCGAGCATAAATCCATAAATCCATATCTCTGACTCGCTCCCCTCTGGGCCTCTTTATAAGACTATCATTAGCACACAGAAGGCCTCTTTAAAAGGGAATGACTGCAGAACAAAGGAAATAATGAGCCTGAACTTTGTCGCTGAAACGGGCCGGGCCCCTATCTCTCCCCGCGGCACCAGGCTTGTTAAGTAGTTCTGCCAGCGAGCTTATTCTAAAGAGTAGAATGAAATACATTTAAAACTTCTCTTACTTTATCGTCACCATTTTGGGGTCCTCTTATTCATTTCTTCTTTTTCTTCTTTGCAATCTCATTGCCGTTATTGCTCAATGCTTTTTAAATTGCAGTCATTTAAATTGATAAAAGGGACTTACCAGCACGACTTACTCTAATCAAGAACAGCGTCGCCAATTAATCTAAATGTAATGTGCAAACAGCAACGTGCAAAACATTCAAACCATATTGTGTTTCTTAATTAATGGTACTTTCTTCTTATGATTCATTGTTTTGAATCACGACTAACAGAAATTAAGCAGAACAATTATCATTCTTGAAGCTACAACATAGCTTTCAGTGGAAATAAGCGTACTTTGGAAAAAGTATATACAACTGTTTTGTAAGGAAGCACATTCACCAATGGTTTCAGCTTTGTTCCCACCTTGTTGTTATTCAGCCTTGAACACAGTACATGAAAATGAAGGTTGTTCTGTTTACAGTCCCTCATCATTGAGAATGCATAATACATCTTAGAGTACACCGCTCTTCCTAAGGTCCAGCCGGTGAAAAATACTGCAATAACAGTTCACTGTGGTTTCATGTGCTGCTTTTAGACTAATAGAGGAAGCGCAATATCCAGTACTGTGTGTGTGTGTGAGTGTGTGTATCTTGCATGTGTGTGTGTACATGGCATTTGGAGGGATACCCAGAACAAATTTGCGTGAGCTGGAGCAGCATGAGTGCGGGGCATAGTTTTAGGAGGTCGATTTGATATGCTCTCACACACACACACACACACACACACACACACACACACACACACACACACACACACACACACACACACACACACACACACACACACTGCCGTAGGGTGATTTATTAAGCTGCTCCTGTTAATTCTTAATAATCCTGAGACTTTCACACCCCATTTACCTTGCTGCTTTTGGCTGATCCACAGGCTGCATATTTGCAAGCGCGTTCACACACACACACACACACACACACACACACACACACACACACACACACACACACACACACACAAAACATTCACTCAAACTTGTGTTCACAGAATAAAGGGGGCTCGGGGCCTTTATCTTTGCTGCCAATGTTGAGGAAAGAGAGAAAGAGGGAAGGGAAGAGGGCGGAGGACAGGAGGGAGGACCGGGGGTGTGTGTTCCTGAGACTATAAAAGCCGTCCGCTGGTAAACGGAGACATCCATCACGGCCTTTTAGGGATGAGGTTGTGGGTGGAGGGTGTTTAGCTGTGACTGTGTTTAAATGATGAGAAATTGTTGACTCTAATTGTAAGAGAAAGTGTAGCAACTATATTTAGACAACCCAAGCTGTTGTGAGTGTAAAATCGAATTTCCTAAAGTGGCGAAAACGCACAAAAGCATACTGTATAAGAGGGAAAACTTACATTAAGGGGAAATTGAGAAGCCAACAATGTTTGTTTAAATTAGGGTGTATTTTATGATTCATGATGACGATCACGAACTGGAAGTCATAGTTTATTTTTTTAATCTCTCCGACCCTGACTTAACTGAAGCACACCCTCTGTCTTGGCTCATTTGCTCTCCGCTGTTTGTTGTGCCAAATAGGACATTTTTTGCTGATTGTCTGATTGACTCATAAGGGCATTTTGAATTTGTAATTCACACCAGATTGGCTTTGATTTAATTAAAGCTATTGACTCAATAGAACATTTATTTTTCTTCCGGTGAGACCAATTTATTTGTTTCTTTTAAACAAATGATTCTATCACCCTCTTCATGCAGCCTGTGTCACTGCCGGGAAAACAAGCCTGTGTCTCGCCAGATGTGGGGAGGGCTCGCTTTAATACATGCAAGAGGGGAAGATGTAAAAGGAAAAAATGGGGTGATGAGGATGGGGAAAGAGAGGTATGGATGATAGAGAACAGGTAGACAGGGAATGAAAGGGTGCCGGGGGAGGAGGGGGGGGAGTGTGCATTAATCAGAATAAAATGGAGAAGAAGCATACGGCTGGTGGGGGAGTCAAGAGGGGAGCAGGGAGAACAAAGCCATCTGGGACACAAACAAGTCCTGACAACGACTGTGGATTTAACAATGGCTGATTTAAAGGTTCCTTAAGAGTTTCTTTCTCTTTTTTCCCCTCTGTAATAAACTTGTGTTGGACCGTAGTCTGATCAGGTACAGATGATAGCAGGCGGGGAGGATTTACAACCAGATCTTCCACAGAAATAAAGATGTCACACTCTGACAGCTGACCTGCTGGGGCCCTAAAACTCTGACTGGGATTATTTTATTTCTGGTGTGTGTGTGTGTGTGTGTGTGTGTGTGTGTGACGTCACTGATCAGATCTTTATGAAGGAGTGCTGAAGTGATGACAGCGTGTGTGTGTGTGTGTGTGTGTGTGTGTGTGTGTTTTTGACAGACAGGAAAGAGCTCAACCTGGTCCCTATCAGGGCCCATGAACGTCTGCTTTAAGTCAAGTTACAGTCCCCCCTTTTGACTCTCTATGAATTTTCCAATTTCAGGGAATAAATCTGAAATGAATATAACGTTGGGCTACATGAGTGTCTTGTATTTGTGGTTGGCTGTTGCACAGCAAACAGTAGTCATTGCTCTCACTATATTATGTTCGTGATACAACTGATGATGTAACCAAAGATTGAATCCTCTCTTCTGTCACAGGTAAACCCGTCATGATTGTCACAGAATACATGGAGAATGGATCCCTGGACAATTTCTTGAGAGTGAGTATTAACTTGGAAACACGTGTAGAATGGATGGATCATGATGCCTCTTAGTGGTACACAGAGGAAGTTGGGGAATCACATGGTGTCAATCTGAGGATTAAGAGACACCGGGGAACATCTTAAAAAGGTGGATAAAGTGTCTTGCACCTGTACAAACCATAGCCACACACCAGGTCACTATTAGGTAGTATAATGTATGTTTCGTCCTTCACATTTTTTGTTTGACAAATTTCTACAGGGGTTGCATTTATCATATTTTGAACAGTGACATTTGGTGTTTAAAAATTCTGTAAAGTTGGTAAGGTAAGAGAGTATTATCAGAGTGGAAATACAACTGCTTAGGAGTCTAAACTCCAAACGTTTCAAAGGTTGTCTTTTGCTTTGAGACTGTTTCTCTGCATGGATTTCATCTTTCTTTCTTAGCTCTAAAAGACAAAGCATTACAAATGTCATCTCAGTTTCATGCGACCAAATTATGGGATACAGTAATGTCTTCATTAAAAAAGTCAGTTTTTCAACAGACAGCTGTTATAGAGTAAGACCTGATGGAAATATACTAGTATATGAATTGTGTTTGTTGTTCTCTACTCTTACTAAAACGAAACCGACAAATTAGTTCACGAGCAAAGTTCCAGACTAGTTTTGAGACAAACACGTTCAGGCTTTTCTATACATTCCTGGAAATGCCTTGTGGATGATTTAAGCAGTTCTGACTGTTTCAGCAAAACTTTCCATACTGGGCTTATCAAATGACAAGGTTTTATGAACTGTATCCCTGCTGCTCTTCCTTCCAGGATGGAATTTGATTCTTGCCATGCCCCAGTCTCTTAAAGCGGAATTGACCTGCCTCACTGAGAAAAGCCAAAGCACAAAAGCCTCAACACTGGCATGAAAGCATGTGCACTGATTCCTGTTTTAGCCCTTCTCCACATGTGTCTGCACAGTATCCTGACACATGAAGGAGGAGTAGCTGTTGTTTCCTGACATTTTCCCAGAGCCCTGCACTTCATCATAGAAAATGTGTCATATGCACTCACACACAGACATGGAAACACACAGCTCATGCACTGTATGTCTGTGTTCTGAATCTGCAAAGCTTTGAAGGGACTAAGCCAGGTGGTCTGGCCACTAATTGCTCCAGACCAAAAGGGAGGCGAGGTGGACCCAGTTGGTTTCAAAGGAAAACACACTCATCTTACACTCATCTCGCAAATGACTTGGTCTTTCACAAACACAGAGCAAATCAGTGCATGTGTAGAGCAGTGAATAGAAATGCAAGCGGATGTAGACAAATGACTCCCTCTCATGCTACACTGAGTGCAAACCCTGAGTAAAAAACAGATAGATAGATAGATAGATAGATAGATAGATAGAAGAAGATAGATGGACAGATGTGTTTGCTGTTATTTTATTAACTTGAGCTCTTCTTTCTTATTTTTCTATATTTATTTCCTGTTCATACATTCAGAGTTAAATATAAACGTTTGCAAACATAAACCAGACTCCCGATTGCCCAAACAGACCAAAAGTGTTTTAGTATTTATAACTGCATCTAACCAATTTCCCAATCTCACATTTATTTGTATTCTTTAGGCTTTTCCTGACATGGCTTACTGAAAACCCAAACACATTTAAATACTGTAGTCCCCATATGGATAGTTATGAATTTAACTATTTAAGTGAATTCAATGTGTGTTTAAAGTATAAAAGAACATTTTAATCATCAGTTTTTCTCCAACAAAAAATAATTTGTAGAGAGGAATAGCATACAATATAATTATTTTTTTGTGCTGGACAAATAACTGTTTTTGTTTTTATTATTCAACCAAAATGTCAAGGTCAAGGCTCTTGAATTTGCCACCACATGGGCCATTATAACATATCCAAAGTGGACAGTAACCAGACTGATTGAAAAAAAAAGAAATATCCTATGTACTTATTGGTCCTAATGTCCATACATTACTGCATGTCTGGCTATGGTATTTCACAGTTTAGCTGAAGATGAGGTAAGGAATGTCAAAGGTGGTTTTAAAGGTTAATGAAAGTGCTGTGGACACTTATGTAGAAAGGTTTCATTTCATGCAAATAATCAGAAAGGTCAGGCTCCCTTTGTGTTCTGTATATAATATGTATGTAGATGATAACTTTTAATGTATATCATTAACACCGAGTGTGACTTCTCTTTCCTTTAGAAACACGACGCCCAGTTTACGGGGATCCAGCTGGTGGGCATGCTGCGTGGCATCGCCTCGGGCATGAAGTATCTGTCAGACATGGGCTACGTTCACCGAGACCTGGCAGCTCGAAACATCCTGGTCAACAGCAACCTGGTGTGTAAAGTGTCAGACTTCGGCCTGAGTCGAGTTCTGGAGGACGACCCGGAGGCTGCTTACACCACCAGGGTGAGCGAGCACACACACATTCCAAGGACAGAAATGACAGTGTGATACAATATGTTCGCAACTGTTCTGGGACAAATCATTTTTTCTGTATCCAGGAATGTGCTACTTAAAAGGCAATGTCACAACAACCCTGAATGCAACACTTATATATGGTACTCAATACAAAAATTATCTCAAACTGGCAACAATATCTTCCTTTTTAGTTATAATAATAGGAATATACCTCTCCAGCAAAACGATTATACGATACAATACAATGATACCTTATTGTCAGTCTAAGTCTACAAATCAACAAGGACATACATTAACATTAGAAACAGGGGAACAGACATTAGATTATTAGAGACAATATTTGCATGTCTTTGACGTACATTTAAGAAAACATAACAGCAATGTTCTTATTATGAAATTGGTTCCACATTTATGCCATTTCTCGCAAACACACCCGCTTTATACTCAGGTAATCTCAGCAAACAGATACAAACACTCTTCCTCTGTCTGGCAAGGGTACAGAACACATAAATAAAGGCAGAGCTTTGTGATGAGATTGACATAAATCCACAGAGCTTTGCCTCCCTCGATCACAGTACAGCAATGGCATACATATAACAATGGTGGAGGTCATGGAGAGGAACACTTCAAGCACCATGTGCCCAGAAGGGACATATTACATTGATAAGAAATTCTGTTTGGGTGGTTTAGTGCCGGTTGTTATCCATCCACAACCCTAAGATTTGCACCACTAAGTGCACTTAGTTTCCTCTTACTTTCAATGACAACATAGCTCTGTTTTAGAAGGTGTGTTGTCATGAAAATGAATGCACAAATGGCAGTTTGAGATGCTGAAAATCCTTTTATTTTATTTTTTTATTTTATTTCCTTGCCCTTTTGACTTTAACCTATTTCTCAGATCACATCAGCTTTCAAATATCTTAACTGTTTAGATAATGCACTTATACAACAATAATAGTTTGGGTATAATTACTTTGATGTCTAGAAAACACGAGTGGGTTTTAGGATATGTCTTGCTAAACAGGTAAGGTTTATTGCTTGGGCAAGGAAAAGAATCCTTAAGAACCTAAACCTCAGTAGTGAGATCAACTTTTTTTTAGAAACAAGTGTAAACGTCTTCGAGGTAAGAATGATAACAGTTGGGGGATATTTTTATACTTTTATACTTCATGTCAGAAATGAAACATTATCAACAGGCACACCCCACCTTAGACATCCATCAGTGTGTGTGTGTGTGTGTGCGTGCATGTTTGTGTGCGTGTGGTCATTTTCATCATGGGATCCTGTGGTCTCGGCCCATGCGTGCAGCCCCTTTAAACACAGTATAATTTGCTGGCTGAGAATTGCTTGTCAAATAAACAGTCAATGTGCCGTTTGCCTTTTTCCCAGAAATACATAATCTAAAATAATAAGACAGAATAATAAACTCTCCAGTGATGCAGTAACTGACAACGCTCTGCACATGCACGCAGATTTCCATCCGGCCCTTGAATCTTTGGCATTTGGAATCTTTGTTTTATGTTCCTATGCATGTAGGTATGTATGGTTCAATGTTAATGTAGTGCTCAAACATGTTGCTCCTTATCTAGGGGAGCAGGTGTGTATGTAGTATGAATGTGGAAGCAGATGCTGTGTGTGTTTTCCTGTGTTCATTTCTGCTACCATGTGTTATTGTGTGTTTTCCCAATGTGTTATCGTACTACAGAGTTTCATTAGTGATCATGCAGTATCAGTGTGTTTTCTAGAGGGCGCGTGTGTGACAGCACTGGGCTAGACCTAGTCAGTGGCTTGGCCAATGTCTCTGTTAGCTTTGGCTGCTTTGGCCTCTTTTCCCCAGCTCCGTTTTCATCATTAGTCCAGCTTCTGAGCTAGAATGACAAATGCAGCAGACATAACTCTGCCATGTTATGCAGGAAACTTTAGATTAGGGTTTGATTAATATGTATTTTCTTTCATTCTTTCTCTGAGGCTGATGCCAATACTTTTGATTAAAGCTGAACCTTACATTTTTTGTTACTATGGGGTTCAATTTCATTTCATATGAATACTTTAAAACCCAATTTCGTTGGAAAATATGTTTGTATCTTGTGTCTTTGTCAGAATGTTTATACTTGCAATTGTGGAAGAGTAAATTAATCATTGTGAAATGTAAAGTCTCCTTGGTAGGTTGCAATGCAGATTCCTTTTACAGTTGAGAACATAATGCTTGGTCCAAACCACTGAGGGTTTAATTTCAGAACAGCTCATAAATAGTTTAATTTTTTTCCGGGCTTTGTCTGTGACATAAACCTATTACACAAAATATTAAATATCCTGTATGCATCATTCAGTATTAACTTGCGGCCCTTTTTTTACATGTATACCATTACATGTATATCATAAAACTGACAATAACACACGTCTGACAACCCGATAACCAAATATCAATGTGCAGATCAAACTGATCAGCCAAGTTTCTAACTGAATTAACTTGTTTTAATGTCCTGTCTCTCAGGGAGGTAAGATCCCCATCCGGTGGACAGCTCCAGAGGCTATTGCCTACAGGAAGTTCACGTCAGCCAGTGATGCTTGGAGTTATGGCATTGTCCTCTGGGAAGTGATGTCATATGGGGAACGACCATACTGGGAGATGTCCAATCAGGATGTGAGTACTGCCATGATGCCAATTTCTTGTGTGTTTACTGATGGGAAGTCAGTGAAGGTACCAGCCACTGATCTAGATGAAAAGTTTATGTTCAAGGTTGTGTGAAAACTGTTTTGGCACAGACATGGAAATAAGGGAATATAGTCCCACAGAGGGAGTTGAGCATATTATATGTTGTTTGACTTTTGAAGTTGTTTCTGAATCATTTTTATTTTCCTCCCTAACCCTAGGTAATAAAGGCTGTAGATGAAGGATACCGCCTCCCTCCACCAATGGACTGCCCGGCCACCCTCTACCAGCTGATGTTGGACTGCTGGCAGAAAGAGCGAAACAACCGGCCTAAGTTTGAACAGATTGTCAGCATCCTGGATAAACTCATCCGCAACCCTGGTAGCCTCAAAATCACTGCCAACACCACATCCAGGTACCAGAAGTATATTCCAGCTTTTATTTGTTGTGTTTGTTGTTCAGTAGCACCTATTTCCTGCATGGAAAGGTATTTGAATAATACAATATAGAAGATATGGAGGTAGATCTTAGAATGTGGTGGTTGTTTTGCTAGCTGCTTCTTTTTCCTGATGTGGTTCATGTTCCTGACTGACAGACCCCTGGCTCCAGGCAGTCCAACAGTGTTGCCCAATATACCTTCGATGCACAGCATTATGGGTTATGGTAGAGAAATTGAATATTTGCTCTGGGATCGCAAGCCATTGTGAAGGCAATAGCAGTTGCAGTTTTATTTTCCATGAATGAAACACAATTAACTTTATTAAAGGTGACCTATCATGCAAAATGCACTTTTGTATATCTTTTATACATGAATATGTGTCCCCGGTGTTCCAGGGAACTCACCAAGTGTCAGAAAACACAATCCTCTCTATTTTCCTCCATACCCAAATCTCTTAAAAAGGGGCTGCAACGGATCTGATACAGACTGATCCAGATTTGAACACTTCTGTGATGTCACAGAAGTGGCGCTACGGCTATTGGACCAACTCCACCAATCAGGAGGAGACAGCCATGGACATTGCCGTTCGAAAGCGCTGGAGACGCTGTAGTACATATGCCAGGCCTGTAGATGGTGCTATTCTCACAGAATCAGCCCATGAAAAGACAGTGTTAAATTGAGCGAAATGAGGAATGGGTAAAATGCATGATCTGTTTGGTATTTTGAAAAATAAAAAGTATAAATATGCCTTATATAGTTATGGTGCTACACTATATTATTCAAATATAGCATGATAGGTCCACTTTAATTAGTTATTTCAATATCCCTTGGTGCACGCCTTGTTTGTTTGTTTGTTTGCTGTTACCATGTGCAAGACCAATGGAACCAGACCAGTACCAGTACATAGGAGAATAAACATTGGCTTCCTGCTGCTTCCCTGTGTTTGCAGGGGAGTTACATGAGAATTATTCTTAACTTATCACACCTCATCTCCCTTTTCCATGCAGTCTAATGTCAAATTCCTCTCTACTTTTCCCCTTGTTTGTTAAGTTAAGTTTCCCCCTCCTTTTCCCCTCCCTTGTGCATAACTCCTTTGTTGGGGCCACCATCTCTCCCCAGGGGGGCCGATGTGGAAACCAAGGCAAAGCCCATGTTCAGTTTGTCAATGCTGAGCACAAGCAACTGGGTCTGAGCAGACGGCCGTGGTATTATGGAGATGGTCAAAGCTCCATTAACATTTGACTAATGATTTTCTTAAGAAGTTGGAAATAGGTCCCTTTGGAGTTTGCATGTAATTTCCCTGATTGGCTTTTAACAACCGGGGCGACGGCAAAGGCTGGCCGGACAGAGGCTGCTGCGTTTGATTTATTGAAGACCTGTTGGGGATGCTGTGGCTATAAACGTGGTGTGTGTACTCACATCGCTGATGTGT